ATATAACAGAACATTCAACTTTAAGTAATCTAGACTCAAAATACGTAGAATAACTTCTGCTTCGAACCCCTTAAACAATAAGTAGAATTCCAGAATTTTGCAAGGTCAACAGCGCTACTGGGAGTGGATTTTGTTGCATTTCCATTTTGTGAGTTTGTATAAGCGTTGGTTTACCAGATGACGTCTTATTTGTTACCTTGCTTTCATTTTGCTATATGATTTAATGGGATGTCTGTATGAAAACGGACATTTGCTGCTGCATTTTTATGGAAATTTGTCATGCAAATTTGTTGTGTAAATTGATAAACCGAATACGTAATAGGCATCAAATCTCATTGAGGGAGATATGTGTTTATCTCAAAAGTGGAGCTTCATATTTTGCAAAACCAATTAAACATATAAAAATTAGTAGCTGATAAACCAACAAGTTACCATCCTTATTTTGAAATTGAAACTTGTGAAAGTACTTAGTTTTAAGCTCTTGATGACAAAAAACAAGACTTTCTAACTAGGGAAAAGGAAAAGTTAATGGCAAGAACACAATCGATTATGCCGGAACTGGTGCTAGAAAAATTACAAATACGGTTAATCAAGCCAATATTTGTATAAACAATAAAGAGTGCAAGTCATGTTAGATTACATTGTTAAAGATAATTGACAATCTAATGTATTCATAAATTCTTAATTAACCTGTTAAATTATTTATGCANATCAAATGTGGTAATGCATATTTAGGAATAGGTGAAGTTATGCTTGATTTCTGTATTACTTGGTTTGAACTAGTCCATGTTGGTGAAGTAATGTTTGACTTCTGTATTACTTGGTTTGAACTGGTGCATAATTTCATAAAATAGGAGAGCACAGATTTCTGTATTTTGTTTTACTTCAATTATTAAGATATTCATGACTATCTATATGGATATCAACCGTCCATTGGCTTTGGTCATTAGAACCTTACTTTCTTTGATTCTTATATTATGATAATGTAACACCCTTTTACACCAGTCATACCAATCACTTCTTATTACGGTACATTACCTTTTTTTGTTCAGTTACCATCAGTTAATTTTAAAGTTGGAAAACTTTTTACAGTACATTAGCTCTTATCATTTGTAAAGTTCACTCACAATAGTGATTATTAGTCTATGTTGCTCGTGTGATGATATGAATGTCGTTAATATTATAATACTGTACGAACTCTTATGAATAAGAAGATGATAAACATTAGTAAAAAATATGAAAACAAGAGTAGGTCCTCTCTCGAAATTAACTTGATGGTGAACAAATTTGCATCAATGAACAAAAATAAGAAACTCAGCCTCTTATTTGGTTAGTATATCTTTTTCGCTTTCTTGGGTTATCTCTCTGTCTAAAGGTTAACAATAAGGACAGAAATGTGAATTTGATGAAGATATGCAGTCGATAGCAAGCTATTTCAAGATTTTGGGAGAAGTGACAGGAGAATAAAGGAAGGAGCTTAAAACATACTGGCGGTATAAAAAGATTTACACAATCGGGTCACTTGTAAATAATTACAACAAGATTGTATGATAATTATTAACAGGTGATCTGCTAAAAATGGTTGTATTTGCTATCACAGCTTAAACTGATAACGTATAAAATGTTTTACACTAGAATATAGTTAATTCCATCCATTTTCTGTTTCCTACAATACTTATATTATCTTTCTGATTTTTGTTGTTGTCATAGATTCTATTGTCTATTTTCGTCTTGAGCCGAGGGTTTCTCGGAAACAACCTCTCTATCTTTCCGGGATAGGGGTAAGGTCTGCATACATTATACCCTCTCATACCCCACTTGTGAGATTTTATTGGGTTGTTATTGTTGTAATTATGTGTGCTGATTTGTTTTGCCTACTTCTAATAATTTCTGTTTTTAGAAATTTGTCTCTTAATTGCTATTGTTTTTAATCCTTTTTGTTTATATCTTTTATTGATGCCCCTTATGTTCCAAATCATCCAAGTCATTTATTAAGAGGATCCTCCACCATGATTTGGTGGTTTTGTATTCTCAATTACATGTTCCGCTATTTGTAAAGCCTCAAAACTATACACTCCTAGTTGGTTCAGTGATCACATCCTTCCCTCTTAGGAATGTTGTGGGTTGGCTTCATTTGTCCCTTTCCTTGCTGTCCTCTCTGTATATGTTTCTGATTTGTTGCATCTTTAGTGATAGTTTTCCCTATCATGTTTTTGACTTTGCTTCACTGACTGATGTTGTTGTTTTAATTCACTTGTAGTTGAAATATCACCCTGTTCAACATTCACTTCTTTTGATCTCCATTCTTGCACAACTCTTCTTGGTCTTCTCCTTTGTTGTTGGCCAAACTATCTGTTCTTATCATGCTCATTCACGTTTTGCACAGTTATGCCCTATGCTTATACATTTAGTATTATTAGCTTTTTTTTTCACCATGTATGAAACTTTTTAATAAAGGTTATTTGAATTCCAAAAAAAATTGTGTCTTATGCTTTAGATTTATAATAGCCATGTTTGATTTATTTACTCCAATTGTTCAATTAACACGGTGATTAAATTTATTCATTTTTTAAAATAAAATAGTTAGAGAAGTTTTTGCTAAAATGACATGAGCTTGTTCTTTTAACAGATAAAAAATTTGAAGTATGAGGATGTCATTGAAGAAAGTACAAAGCAAGTTGATGCATATTAGATCGTATAGTTCTCTTGGCAGTTGTGTAGGGATGTTGTCATTTTACATATGTTATAATTTCGTTTTCTCTCTTAGAGGATTTGATAGTGAGAAAGTCATACAGTTTAGATGTATATATATTCTAGTAATGTGTTCTTTTATAGTTCTTTCTAATTGACAGATTAATTTTATGTGAATACATGTGGTTATTTATTATTTTTTCTGATGTATATGTATAAGTATATGGAACAATGAATATTATTGCAAACACATGAAAAAATTTATGAATTATCTAATTGCATTTATTAAAATTTCATATAAGTGATGGAAAATATGGTCTTTACAACTATTTAATGATTGGATTGTCAAATTGTTAAACAGGTATTAGCGAAATAAAATTAGTCGTTAAAAATATTATCGTTAAAAGTAACAGAAAATTAATGAAAGGAAACTCCAATCGCTAAAAGTAATTATAGTAATCGAATTTGTGGTTGTTTTTAAAGAGCTTTAACGACCGGATGACAAATCAACGAGGGAAAAATTCGGTCACAAAAGAGTAAGTATAATGACCATAAAATATGTCGTCGCTAAAGAATCTTTAATGACCGAACTCCAATCCGGTCGTTAACTTTTAACAACGGCGCATTTAGTGACCGGTGACGACTAGTTTTTGCCCGGTCTTTAGTGACCTATAGCGATCATATTTGGGCTTTTAACGACTGGATTTTTCGTCGCTAATAATCACTTCTCTTGTAGTGGCCATCACGACTCCCGAGGGTGGGGAATCCGGGTCATGACAAATTGGTATCAGAGCTCTAGGTTACATAGGTCTCACAATTCACAGACAAGCTTAGTAGAGCCTGAGGGAACGGTACAGAGATGTTTGTATTTATCCCCCAGAGGCTACAGAGTTAGGAAAAACTTCATATTTATTCTTTCCTGTCGTGCGGTTTGATTTCTCAATGCTAATTGAATTTCTACTCTATTCTTTCGCATATGTCAAGAACACGCGCTTCCTCATCCACCGATCAGTAGCCCGAGCCCCCAGCAGCAGCTCTCACGAGGGGCAGAGGGCGAGGCCGAGGCCGTGCTAGAGGCCGAGGTATGGGCAGAGCTCAGCCCAAAGCAGCAGCACCAGCGGCGGAGCCTCAGGTTGACTTTGATGATGAGGTTCTGGCCCAGACCATTCTGGTGGGCCTAGCTCAGGTCCCAGAGGGGCTTATTGCTACCCTAGTACTCTAGAATGCTCTGGTCCGTCTAGTGGGCCTCATGGAGAGTGTCACCTAGGCAGGCTTACTTCCCGTAGCACCAACCGTCTCTCAGGCTGGAGGAGGAGCCCAGACTCCTGCTACTCGCACT